TATTATGTTTATCACGTGATTATATAAATTTTTGAAATTTGAAACAACTTGATGGCTTTTTATGGAACACACTATACGACACCAATCAAAAAATTTTATTATAATAAAAAATACAAAAAATTTTTTTTTTTGCAATCTATCTATTATCCGAAACTTTATTTCCATCAAGCCTTATTACACAATTTAACCGATCTAAAATCAGTCTAAAAATCGGATCAGTTCCGAAACCGGTTTACGATCAGACCGTGTCACAAAATTCTCGATTAAAATTCCAAAAAAAAAATTTCAAAAAAATCTTTAATACCAAAATGGTTGATAACAAACTTTTACCAAAATTATTACAAAATTTGCTTGAAATCTTAGACGATGACGAGTTTTATGATGTTACGATTGAAGTTGGGGAAGATCCTTATGTAAAGATATTTCGAGCTCATATAGTTATTCTATATTATCGTTCCCCTCGTTTGCGAAGAATTTTGTCATCTAATGAAAAGAAAGATGATGGATCTTTGACACATATTAAGTTACCAAATATTGACCCCGAAGCTTTTCAAATCATCTTGAGGTGATTTAAATCGAATTTATTATTTTTTTTTTCCTTTCCTTTTTTTTGTTTTACGAATTTTTACAAAAACAATTTTTTTTAATCTTATAAAGATATATTTATGGAGGGAAACTTCCGTTAGAAGAATATGATACTTCAAATATTATTAGTATTTTAATCGCTGCCAATAAACTAGGCCTTCAGGAATTAGTCATTCATTTACAACCATTTTTGATTGAAAACAAAGCAAATTGGATGGAAGAAAATTTTAATCAGATATATCAAACAAGTGTTGAGCATTCTTTTGTTGAACTTCAAATGTTTTGCACTGATTTAATGACCAAAGAGCCAGAAAAGATCTTTAAGTCATTTGATTTTGCTTCAATATCGGAGAAATCTTTTATCTCTCTAATTCGAAGTGGTAGCCTTTCAATGAGTGATTTTAAAGTTTGGGAACATGTTTTGAAATGGGGAATTGCTCAGAATCCAGAGCTTCCCCTAGAACCTTCCGATTATTCAAAAGATGATTTCAAAGTTTTGAAGAATTCTTTACAATCATTTATTCCACTTATTAAATTTTATAATTTGTCTTCTAATGAATTCTTGAACAAAGTATTACCTTATAAAAAAGTTTTGCCAAAGGAATTGTATATTGATTTAGTTAAATATTATTTAACGTCAAGTGATGATAAATCAAAATCCAATGAAACTAAAGAAACCCTGGAGATTAAATTAGAACCTCAAATAACCAAAGAAACTCGGGTGATTGAACCTCAAATTGCTGAGGAAACTCGGGAGATAAATTTAGAACCCCAGATAGTTAGAGAGGGGATTAAATCGGAAACTCAAATAACTAAGGATACTCAGGAGATCATATCAGTTTCTCAGATAATTAAGGGATCTCAAGAGGTTAAACTCGAATCACAAATGACCAAATCTTCAATGACCGAGGTTAATGAAAAGGTTGAGGAAGCATCCATTGATTCCAAAATCATTTCGAATCAACATATTGAATTAATTACAAAATGGATCGATCATGTGGACACTGCAAATATCTATGTCTCGCTGGTTACGGCCATTTTCTATGGATCGAAACCTACTAAATCATTTGAAGTCGAATTATTACATCGTGGATCTCGTGATGGATTCACGCCTAAAGTCTTCCATGAAATTTGTGATAATCACGCGTGTACAGTATTAGTTATTAAAGTGAAAGATAGTGATGAGATTCTTGGAGGATATAATCCGGTTGAATGGAATTTTGATCACAGTTTTTGCGTTACAGATGAAAAGTTTGGAGCCAATGAAGATAGTTTTATATTCTCTTTTAAGGACAATATGGATATTGACAATCATATTTTAAGTCGTGTAGTGAATAAAGAATACGTTTTAAACGATATAACTTGTGGTCCTTCCTTTAGTTCAGACCTTATTACGTATGGAGGAGTTAGAGGTTACTGTAAAAAGAATTCTTATGAAAAAATAATTAGAGATACCGAAGATTTCTTTTTTATAGAAGATTATGAAGTATTTCAAATCACACCAATATGATAGTTATAAGTCATACTTTAGTATAAACTTTTAACTAAGATTTTTTTCAAATTTTACAATATAATTATTTAGTTTAATTTTCGATATATAATATTTTTTATTTCATTTCCTGTAAAATCTGTAAGAACTGATGCATATTTACGAAAATTAATGATTTATAAAAGTACAAAGATCTAAACAATGTTTCGAGTGTTATATGAAAAAAAAATTGACTATTGGTTAAAGATTTGATCATCATAGTCATAAGATTACATGCGATCAATATGCAACAATCCATAAATTTATGGTTGAAACTTTATGAATAACTAGTGTTACTTTAAGATGCTTATAAGTGATAAGCAATGCAATAATTTCAAATAGTAAGCAGAAGGTTGAATACTGCCTCAATCGGCGCTCTGTACTGTACAAATGTGTTAGAGAAATTCTTTCATCTTACCAATGGTGAAAAGGCAAGGATTACAAAAACATGCCAAAACTGCCAATGAAAATAATACTAAAGGAGTTTTACTCTCTTTCGGTGCCATGTCATTTTTTAAATGTGGTGCTGTCTCATCACCTTTACCTTCCTCTTCTATGTTATCATAATTGTTGCCTCCGTCATCATCGTTGACACCATCATCATCATTATCAAGGTCCTTCAAGGTAAGTGTATTTGCTCCATTTTCAATCTGCCTTTACATGATTTTTCCCATCGTCTATATTATTGTTCCTGTAATATGACAATATTGAGAACTAACAAGATCCGTTTCTTATGTTGTATTATTGTACGTCTTGAATCTTTACGATTTAATGGCATCAAATATTTTTTTGCTTTTGTATTATTGATTGATTGGATAAATGTTTTGAATCAAAATATTCTGTTCAATTGGTTGTTGCGGTATTGTTGTAGGAAACCTTCCTGGTACTC